CTAAGGCAGTCGGATCACCTGAGGTCCAGCCTGGCCAACATGGTGAAACCCTGTCTCTGCTAAAAATACAAAAATGAGTCAGGCATGGTGGTATGCACCTGTAGTGCCAGCTATTCGGGAGGCTGAGGCAGGAGAATCGCTTGAACCCAGGTGGTGGTGGTTGAGCCTAGATCACACCAGCCTGGGCAACAGAGTGAGACCCCCTTTCCAAAAAAAGAAAGAAAAAGGAAATTAGGGTAAATTTTTTTTGGCTGCAGATGATTTTAGGAAAAACTAAAAATACTCTTGAATGATCAAACTTTCCCCACTAAATATGTAAATCTTCTTTTCCAAATTAGGTACTTCTAGCATTTCTTCTGAGAAATGCATTTCTGGGGCCAGCCAAAAGGAGCTTTGAAATCTTCTAAACATATTTTTGCCCTCCCCGCCCCACTGCCTGCTTTGTGATTGTCTCCCTTCACTAGACACACAGGCCTATTTCTTCTGTTCCTCCAACATGCTGACCTTGCCATTGCTCTTTCCTCTGCCTGGAGTATCCCTCCTAATTTTTGAATGTCTGGCTCCTCATAATTTGGGTCTCAGCACATGCCCTTTTTGAAGGGGTTTCTCTGATCCCCAGTGAATAGATATACACTGCCATTCACTCTCTGTCACTGTGGAGTCCCTGGCTCATGGAAGAACGCTTGGCACATAGCAGGTGGTCAGTAAATACCTGTTAATGAATAAATAGGTTAAGAAAAGTCAACTATACCCCAGCAGAATCTGATAACCTGTCTGCTGTTTGAGCTATGTGTACTAGAGACAATAGAAATGATGACGTGAAGATTCAGCCTAGCATATATTGCTTCTAATTCTTGTTTTGTTCATGTATGTGATCATTTTCAAGGAATATGGTTTCTAATTTTATCCACCAGAGAACCACATTTTGTTCCTGGAATTCATGTGAAGATGACCTTATCGCACACTGCTTCTTACCCACAACCTCCATTCTTCCTTTCTTAATTACAGAAGCCCAAAATTCGGGACAATGTGTCCAGTTAAAAATAAACATGCTCCTCTCTGCAGGCTTTCTTACAGCTACAACAGGTAGCCATGTCTCCTAGTTTTGGCCACTGCATAGCAGAAGTTGCGTTAGGCTTGGGGAAAGCCATCACTTCCTTGATAAAAAGGTGCAAACTCATCTGCTGTTCCCTTTGACCTTCTACCCCTCTCTCTGTCTGGAATGTAGTCATGAAGCTGGAGGTAAAGGTGTTGTCCTGTGTAGCAGGTGCTGTCATTGCTCTGCCCACATAGGCTTCCTATTCAAAACTCCCGTGAGTCTCCATCTGAGGGCTTTTGCTAGTTATAGGATCATGCTGAGTCTGTAGAATGCAGGCTGAAAGTGCCAGGGGGGTTAGTAACCCTGTGAGCAGCCCTTAACTAATGACAGATGGAAGCTGGTAGATAAATATCCCAGCTCTTTGGCCTTGAGGTGGGACAACTCTGGGGCAGAGAGCTCCCTGAGGTCCCCAGTGGGACTGAACACTGATTGTCCACAGCAGTAACCCACTCATGAACACATCCTGTGTGGGCTTCCTTTGCTTTTCTCATTTCCCCACTTGCTTACCTTCCTGGGATCACTTCCCAAATAAACTACTTTCATGTGAATCCTTTTCTCAGGAACGTCTTCTGGGGGACCCCGACCTAAGACATCTTGCGACCTTGAGGATGAAAGCCACATGCTAAGGATAGAGAGGGGTCTAGAAAGAGCTGAGCCCCTGATGCCAGTTCCTAAGTCCCTGCCCCAGCCTTGGACTGCCTATCTCTGGATTTGAGAAAAATAAATCTCTTAGCTATTATGATAAGCCACCACAATCAGGTAGTATGCAGCCAAATGCAATTCTGAGGTGTGTGAGAATGTTTAGTTGACCACAAATGCAAATATAGTCATCAGTTGGACAAGGCTACTAACAAAGCTAACACTGGCTGCATGACTAGCCCCTTACATCAGGTGGCAGATCAGAGCTAACACTGGGTTTGCTTACCAGTTGCTGTACTTAGTCCCTGTGCTAATTCTCTGAGGTTGGCATTATCAATTCTGTTTTACTAATGCAGAGAAAGGCTGGGGCCCTTGTCCATGGTTACAAGGCTAGGGGTAAAATCCGGATTCAAAGTCCAGCCATCTTTTGCCATAGGGAGATATAGGCTAGGTTTTCATTCTAAGGGAGTTTTTGGCATTTAAATAATGAGTCACACCTGCCATCTGTTGCCTTTGCTTTCTCCTAACATCCTGAGCTTTTCCATGCCTGTTAACCATCATCACTCTTCACCCTGATGGAACTGCAGGCTTTTGCTTCTACCAGAGCTAACCCTCCTGCCTGCCAAATCTCACCATAAACTACACACTATAATCACAAGCTTGTTAAATATGTACCAAATCGTCGTCTTTTTTTTCTCTAGCTCTTGCCTTTGCCAGGAATGCTTTATTTCAGAAGAGTAAATTGCTGTATTTGGGCCCAGGGAGGATAGGCTGGTATCTGCAGGCCTGTTGTGGGCAGGCTACCCATCTCAGTGTAGCTCATAGCACTGAAAACATACACAACACTTAGGTGTAAATATTTGTAAGGTTAGAGTGGGTAGCAATACTGGAATCCAAGTTGAATTCAAACTTACTACTATGCTGGGCACTGTGGCTCATGATTGTAATTCCAGCATTTTGGGAGGTTCAGCCAGGAGGATTACTTGAGGTTAGGAGTTAGAAACAGCCTGAGCAACATAACAAGACCCATCTCTACACACAAATGCACGCACACACACACAAACACACGCACACACACACAAACACACACACACAAAATTAGCCAGATGGTAATGCTAACTACTCAGGAGGCTGAGGCAGAATTGCTGAGCCCAGGTTGTGACTGCAGCAAGCCATGATCACACCACCATACTCTAGCCTGAGTGACAAAGTGAGACTGCCCTTCCCCCTAAAAAGTTACCCATTTAAAATCATTAACATTGGCTGGGTGTGGTGGCTCATGCCTGTAATCCCAGCACTTTGGGAGCCCGAGGCGGGTGGATACCTGAGGTTAAGAGTTTGAGACCAGTCTGGCTAACATGGTGAAACTGCATTTCTACTAAAAATACAAAAAATTAGCTGGGTGTGGTGGTGCATGCCTGTAATCTCAGCTACTCAGGTGGCTGAGGCAGAAGAATTGCTTGAACCCAGGAGGCGGAGGTTTGTAGGAGCAAAGATTGCACCACTGCACTCCAGCTTGGACAACAAGAACGAAACTCTGTCTCAAAAAAAAAAAAAAAAAAAAAAAAAACAACAAAAAAAAACATTAACATCAAATTTTATCAAACATACAAATGAAACATACTCTATAGAAAATTTCAAATAGACTATATACTCCATTGAACATTTAATAAATTATATTACACTTTTAAAAAGAGACAAAATTATAATGCAAGTATTTATTAAAATGCTGACCATTTAAACATCATCTGAATTATATGAAATACTTATTTACTTTTGTGAAATGTGTTAATGAGAATCTAGGAGTTTCTATGTAAGGCTGAGCATTTTCAATGTTCCCGGCCTAGACGAGAAAAGAATGCATTCTCTTACTGGTACTCAGGAAATATTAATACAATACACTTGGGTTCTAACTGCTGGTGTGTGGAAATGAGGCTAGCACCCATGACTGGCTGGGCTCTAGAAAACAAGCATGCAGTGCTCCTGTGTCACACGGGACCCAAGAGACAAAAGTCTGATCTAGGGTGAAGCTACATGCAGAGGGTGAAGAGGACTATACCAATAGGCTCATGGGTCTGGAGGAGCAAGGAAAGCCATGCACAGATATTGCTCTGACCTTAAAATATTTGTTAAGTGAGGCAAAAAAGAAGCCAGGAGTCTTCTCATGTTCATTCCAGGTCAGCAATTTCCAAGATATTTCTATCAAGGTAATTGGTAGAAAATATAAATGTGTGCTGGCCCTGACTCAAGAATTAAACCATCATAACATATACATATACAATTTGGAGGATGGGCAGTTATCAAACAGCCTATAAACTCAAGTGGAGCATCAGCTCAACTGATATCTGGCTTCAGCTGGTAAGGAATCATAAAGATGTTCAAATGTTGATATTTGGTGAATGTATTTCACAAAGCTACCGTTTCATAAGGACAATAAGGTTCACTATATAACAATAAATGAAGAAAATTTACAAATAGGCCGGGCGCGGTGGCTCAAGCCTGTAATCCCAGCACTGTGGGAGGCCGAGGCGGGTGGATCACGAGGTCAAGAGATCGAGACCATCCTGGTCAACATGGTGAAACCCCGTCTCTACTAAAAATACAAAAAATGAGCTGGGCTTGGTGGCGCGTGCCTGTAATCCCAGCGACTCAGGAGGCTGGGGCAGGAGAATTGCCTGAACCCGGGAGGCGGAGGTTGCAGTGAGCCGAGATCGCACCATTGCACTCCAGCCTGGGTAACAAGAGCGAAACTCCGTCTCAAAAAAAAAAAAAAAAGAAAATTTACAAATGAGATGACAGAACTATTTAAAATATATTTTAAAGGCATTTTTCACTAACTATAAAATCCAGTGAGATGAAAAGATAATTACACTACAGTTACTATCAAAAGACTTTTAGACTGTAGTTGAAGTTCAAAAGGCTAAGGATTTCACAAAGAGATAACATGAGACTTAATTATATATGAAGAGTATTTGATTAGATACAGTAAATATTAGTGTGATTTTCTTCCTCTTGAAAACTAGCTTTACAAAGTAATATCAACTCCAATTAAATTTTGACCTACTTTAATTCCTCATCAATGGCACCGTAAGCTAGTACACTCAAAGTAAATCAGTTACTCTGGGCCACCAAATTAGGCCATCCCTATGTTTCTAAAATAAGCAGGATACAATGGAGTAGCTTGCATTTAGTTACTAGTACAGTTTTGTGCAAACTTACAGATTTTAAAAACATTTTTTCTATTTTTCCAAAGTTCTGCTTCTTAGGACTTTGATTATTAAACATATCTGCCTTAGGGTTCCAAATAATAATGTCTCCTATGAGAACATGTGGGGTAAAACCATCCTCTAATTTGACGAGCTACATTCTAAGAGATTACTGCAAATCTGCCATGTTAGGACAGGGTTGAAAGCACTATCTGAAATCTGAGGGATGTTTAGAGTACTGACCCCAGACAAGGGATTAAAAATTTTTTTTGGCCAGGAGCAGTGGCTCATGCTTGTAATTACAACACTTTGGCAGGTGAGGCAGGAGGATCATTTGAAGCCAGAAGTTCAAGGTCAGCCTGGGCAACAAAGTGAGACCTCCCCTTCCCCCCGCGCCATCTCTACAAAAAATAAAAACATTTAGCCAGGAAAGGTGGTGCACACCTGTGGGACTAGCTGCTTGGGGCTGAAGCAGGACTGCTAGGCCCCAAGAGTTGGAGGCTACAGTGAGCTATGATCTTGCCACTGCACTCCAGCCTGGGTGGACAGAAAAAAAATTTAATTTTTCAAGAGAAACATTGTGGGAAGGGAAAAAGTGTTCCGTAATCTAGGATATGTCCAAGAGCCTTTGCTCTCATAGCCAAATATATGAAAACAATTTTCCTTAAAGAAATACCAGTCTATGAGCCAAGGCAAGCTTTGGCTAGATGATTGGTTAGCTTTTATTTGCCTCTAGAGGTTTCCATGGAAACAGCCTGAGACACACAAAAGGCAGCATTATCATCTTTATCCATGATGCCATTTGATAAAACTGCACATTGATTCATTCATGCCATTCAGAGCAGATGTATTACTTCTGATAAGCCTGAACAAAGGGAGGCACGGAGTTTTATCTGGTTACACTTTGAATTTCCTGTCTTCCTCTGTTTGAAACCTTAAATTAAAATCCTGATAACAATTCCTCTGAACATTTCCCTCAGGAGCCTCTAGCTGAAGTAATGCTTCAATAATCGGGACAATGAAGAAACGTGAAGCCCCAAATGGAGCTCCACTGCCAAGTTCTTAAAATTATATGGCACCACGCTTCCTGTAACTGAATAAATTGTTCTGAAGAGTATTCACAATTCCATTATATCAGATCTCAGCCAGGCAAGAAATGCCACCTTAAGTGTTTATTATATACAGTTAAACCAGGTGGCATCATCCTTTTTTTTCTCTTGATGTCTAGATACGTTGTGTGTTTATTTTAACATAGTAACGCACCCTCACAATTATCCAATCTTATTTCAGGTTAGTGCTTCTTGGAAAGGCTACAAAAGCAGCCATAGCTCAGAATTATGTATCTGAAGTAAACAAAAATAAAAAGCTCAACAACAAAATATAAACCAAACAAACAAGATAAAGAGGCATGTAACCTATAGCACCATACTTAAGACCACAGAGGGCAGGAGGTTTGATAGAGGTCTTAAGAGGAATACAGTTCTGGGTTTTCTCCTAGGATGAGATCCCAAATATAGAACCCATTTGTAGAGTCCAATACTTTTAAAAAGGGAAAGCCTGAGATATTCTATAAACAGAAATATCAAAATCCATGATTTGCCAAATGAATTGACACTGTTCTTGTTCAAAAAGCATCAGATATTATTCCTTAGAAACAAATTGCTCACTTTGGAAAATCAGTTGGGAAACCCCTGCCAACCTCAATGAACTACAATGATGTCTCAGTAAGTTAAAAAAACACGATACACCGCCAAGAAGGACCAATTTGCTCATGGAAAGTAGTTTGCAAGTGAGCAGTAGCTCCCTGATATCGGTATGACCATGCAGACATGGGTTACACTGAAAAGATTCAACCTTGCACACATCATTATATGCTCCACATGGCAAAACATCTGAAAAACACCCAGATGTTTTTCAAAACCTCTGTGCATAATGACATTGGTGTGGAAATCTAGATCTTAGCTTAATCCTTTCCAAAAGAAGGGAGTAAAAGTCCGGGGAAAGGTTTACTTAGAGATAAGTGAAGATTCTGGTATTTAAAGGTGTTGGGTTGAGAAGCTATAGAGCTAGAAACAATTTCAGATCTCACCTAATCCCTCATCTTATTGATGGAAAAACTGAAGTCCCAAAATAAGTATCAGATCTAACTAATGGAAGAACTGTGACCAGAAGAGAAACCATGGGACTCTTAGTTCAGTGCACTCTTAGTTCAGTGCTTGTCCCATCATGTTTATCTGGGGCTCCTTTAAATCTTAGCATGCATAATTTAATCAAGCTCTAAGGATAATGACTGAAAAGTATCAAATAGGAAAAATGCTGCCTTTTAAGGAAGATTATGGCAATTCATGTTCTGATGTGCTTAATATTAACAAAGGGAAAACTCCAGTCATCTTTTGGCAAAAATGTTACTTCTAAGAAACAGGTTCCTTTTCTGAGAGCTGATTTTGTAGGTACTGGGTTACAGCAGACTGTAGATTACAGCTGACAGTTTTCATATGCCCCATCTTTGTAGTTAAGAGTTAGATTCTGCAGATCCTATATCATCAGGCGGACTGAAATGACCACTGCCTTGAGACTCTGTATCAATACTTTTGGTTTCTGACTGAAGGTGGACAGAAACCTGAACTGCTATCTCCTGGCCTTGTTCATTCAGAGAGCCATCATCTGAATCTCCTCCTGGTGAATTACTCCGTCCCATCTCTGGGTTAATAACATAGATGCCACCCTGAGCATTCAAGGCAGGTCTCTCTTTAATTCTTTCACCCAGGTCATCAGGGTCATCCACTCGCACAGCCTCAAACATCTCCTCAACAAAGGCTCGACAGTTTAGAATGAGAGGTGGAAGAGGGACACTTCTTGCCAGTTCTTCAATATAACGAGCAAACTCCATGGTCTTAAATTGTGTGACTTTGGCGAGCTCCAGAGTTTTGGCTGAGGTAATGATGGGGATGCGTTTTGCAATCTCAAAAGCCTTCTGAAGTTTCTCAGCCCCTTCAGTTCTAAAGAACTCATTGATGGCCTTCTCAGTCTTGCGAAGATGGCTGCTCATCATACACAGCCGTGTGACATTTAAGATGAGTGTGATTGTAAAGGCAATCAGGCAAACAATCATGTAATAGACACTCATGTCTCCTGAGGTGAAGATAACACGTAGGGTGACAGAGTAGGAGGCACGAATTGGAGAGGTGACGAAACAGGTATAGAGCCCACGGTCATCAAAGGCTACATTGGTGATGTTTAGGAAGTTATCAGAAACCAACCACTTTCCACCTGATAATTGAACAGGAATGAAAAAAAAATGACAGCACAAAGAAGATTATTACTAACTATGCCAGCTGCCTTATCAATATTCCACTTCTTCATCAAGAACTTTAACTAAACTGATTTGTTAGATTCTTGTTTGTTTAAATCATGTAAAAAAAAAAAAAAACAAACAAAAAGGGGCAGATTGTCATGCCCAGAGTCAGAATATAATTAGCTTGGAACTTAAAAGAAAATCAAGATCTTCCTTCATGGCACTAATAATTGACATAGCTTTCTTTTCACTGCTAGACATAAAAAGCCTTTCTGTGAAACAGGTATGTCTACATAATGCTCAACAACTAATCATAAACAAGCTTACAGTTTATACGTATGTGTGTGTCTACATCACAATTGCTACCAATACATTTTCATATACCATGAGGGTATGTGAAATATAAAACAATGGTTTAAAATAATGGTATTTAAAATTTTTATGAGTAATTTTAATTTTTTTCTTTTAACTGTGTTTGCTCACTTTTCCATAGTGAACTTATATAACAAGAAAAAATTATTTAAAAAAAACCTGGCAATTTAATGCATTTGTTCAATTAGCTGCCTAATCTGGCATGCCTTGCACATATCAATTTTTGTTTTTGTTGTTGTTAAGAAACATTTCTTGATGGTGATATCTTGATTTTCCGGCAAGAGTAACTGAAGCATAAGCCAAAAAATACATCTCAAAAGTCAGGGTAAATGAAAAGCTTGGCAAAAAGAATAAAGCTGCCCTTAAGATGCCTATGCTTCTTTCTATTTTCAACTTAAAACATACTGCCTCTCTTCCACACGTGAAGGTATTTTCATTCAGGGAACATGTATACAGAACTATACAAGGGTAAGAAAAGTAAAGCATATTGACTACCCATTTTGATTCAACATGCTTCAATAACTTGGTTCTGCCTGCATAATTCCTACTTCTGCGATACATTCCCAAAGCACTCTGTGCTTTAACTATGAAAGGCATTCAAAGATGGGATGGATGGGCTAACCTGCAGTGTAAGGATGCATTCCTAAATGCATTCACTAGAGGTGGTGTCCCAGGGGAGGTTAGCTGACTGCCTGTTAAGCATTACTTGAGTGTCCAATCTTCAAAATCTCTTTCATCCCCAAGGTTCTCTGGATTATTTTAATGGCACATAAATTAGTAAGCACTCTGGATTTTGTCCATTTTTATCATCATCAAAACTTATCTCCATCCTGCAGCTATTAATATATTTAAGAGCCATCACTTCACTAATAGAAAAAGAGGAGGAAAACATGTAGTTGTGAATATAGCAATTATTCCATAAGCTTCTGTTCTATGAAAAAATGAATGAAATTCATGTTTCATTCCTTTCCTATGAAAAGGACACCATTTGAATTCAAGGTATGATGAACTGCCAAGACTCCATTCATCAACCATTGCACTACAACCACAATATAAACTCTCTAGCTCACTTGCTGATAATAGCTCAAGATTTATGAACCTTATACTAGACTGACATGCTCTTTAAACTCCTCTCACTTGAGATTCATAAAATTTAATACAATTTTCCAGAGCTGCTGCTGAAAGCATCAATGATAGATGTTACCGATTTTCAAAGTAAAGGCAAAACAGAAAAATAAAACTGCCATTCCACTTGGCTGGTCTTGTCTTAACCTAAGGCTTTGTTTATCCAGTCAGTTTACAGTGATAACACTGAATGAATAATTTAAATCTCAGAGGTGTTTTGTCAGGATGTCGTAGAGCCCAGAGAAGATGAGAGTCTGGTTCATTGGGTCCAAATATGGAATCCCAAATCACATTCAAAGTACACATTCCAGGTATCACTCTAGATATTCTAATTCAATAGTTTTGTATTTTATACACGCTGATTAAAAATACTCTGCTCTTTCTAACAATTCAAACTCTTCAATCTCTTGGTGACTAGTCACTCAGTCTACAGAAGATTAAAATATTTACTGTATATGTGTGAAGGAAATATCACCTGTCTCCTTTTGTATTTTCCACCCTAATATGAATAACTAAAATCTCTTTAAATTTCAAAAGGCTACGTTATCTTTCTAATACAAAAATTTCTGAAAGTGTAGCTTGTGGGGATCTTAGAATTTAATATTCATCCCTTTGGCGATTATTTCATGGTGTCTCTTTTTGAGGTCCATTATAACTCAAGTACTCATCAAAAAGATCTTTATAACAGAACATTGGTTAGGGAAATAGTAGTCTGGATTAAAACAGATCTATGAATAGCAAAATTAAATAAAAATCTGTCAAAAAGCGGACCTTGCACACATTATCACTATGTTTATGTGATTTTTAAGACTGAAATAAAAAACGCAAAAAAAAAAAAAAATCCTCTTTTCAAGTAAATTAAGGTATAGAATGGAAAAAAATGAGTTAGTAGGGCTTACAAGTTCCACAGTTCCCTTCTAATTCTCTGAGATCCAACATTAAAGTTTTATGCACAGATTGATACCCATTTTCAAAAATGTCCTGGATTTCCTCCAAATTTTATAGTAACTCATTTCAGAGTAAAACATTTTTATTGACAACAAATTTTCTTAAGTCTACCTAAAACCTTTCTTGATGTATTCACACAGGGCTACCACATTGTACTACTGTCATAGTAGCTGAGGTGAAGGGTGCTCCTAGAGTTGCGTAGTGCATCACCTGTACAGCTGTATGCAGCAGCCCTGATTTACTCTACCTTCAATGAAGAAGGAAAGCCACCGACTTGCAAAGAAAAATTTCAACTCACCAGGAGAGAAAATAGCTCACTGTCATCATGTGAACATCTTTTAAACTTATAACGATATTTTTTTTTTGTTCTTCTGGTTAAATAATAATACTTTGCTTTTTCTGATAGGTATAACACTCCAGACCTTTCAAAATGTTTTAAACTATTCATCTTGGCACCTCATCTTTGATACTTCTTGTTTAAGTGTTAAAAAATAAGAAGACAGTAAACAGGAAATGAGTAATCTTGATTAATTACACCCTAACACAGTTACCTCTGCCTCGGCCATCCAGTTGCTGTCCTTTTGAATTGTGCCAATGAACATCTTCATGGTGACTGGCCGTGAGAAGACACTCAATTGAAACACTAGTTCCCTCTTTGGCTATGATGACATCATCATCTGAGTGCGAACTTGCTGAGAGTTCAAAGCTTGAGGGAAAGGATGCATTGTAAGAACTATGATTTGCTTCCAGTGAAACCATTTGGTTGAAGTCCACATCTTCCAAAACGAAAGCAGCTGGCACAATAATACTTGCCACTAAAGTGAATAAGCAAAAATGTAGCTTCATGGGAAAATGGAAGAAAATCTTGTTTAGATTTGGAGAACTCAAAAACTTTTACACTACAACAAGAGCACAGTGGGTAATTTATTGCTTGGTAGAGAAATTTTTCAAACAAGTGGTAGATCCAGTTATATTTTCTAGTCTTCGAGATTAAACGATGTGAGTGGAGAACCACCTAAAAGAAAGCCAGATATAAAGTTTAACCAACAGAGACTCATAATGGGGTGAAACTCTATATGTCCCAGAAATGAATAGATGTGAAATGAATTAGGATAATTGGTGCTGACATTGGGGAGTAATTAGAGAATAGTACCTAAAAATCTCACAAAGAGACAGCAGAAAAAGCAATGAATTGGGAAATAGCAGACCTAGATTTTGGTCCTAGCTTTGCTACTAACTAGCTGTACGACCTTGGAAAGTAACATTCTCTCTGGGCTTCTGTTTCCTCATCTGTCAAATGAGGGACTGGATGAGATAATCTCTAAGGACACTTCCAGTTCTAAAATGCTATGATTCTATTTCATTCTGACAAATTTTATGCAACAGGGAGCCAATGAAGGCTAAAATATTTATCTTAATGATCTTTTATTTCAACCTGTACCATTACCATCTGTTGTTATATCAATAATGTAAATCAACTGGCATATCATAATAACCATGGAGCTCAAAATTTGAGTAATTCAAGTATAAAGATATGTTAGTTATAAATAATGCAGGGACACTTGAGGCTTTGTTTTTAATACTGGAAAGAAAACTGCACTTATTGCATACACATAGAGTTATTGACTTAAATGTTAGACAACAGAATTTTCCTTTAATAGTTTCTCTAATACCAAGAGACAAAGTACAGTGTATTTAATTGTTTGTAAGAATACCAAATTTCTAGCTCAAACTTTGTAAACTAGCTAAGTGAGGAGCTGACGGCTTAAGTGTCTAGTTAGTAAAAATGTAAATATAAAACTACAAGGACAGATTGTTAAACAAATTTAAAAGAAGAGCAAAATATCATGAATAAAAGGCAAAATAACAACCCAGTCTAACAGTCTATGTATTTATGATCACCTTCCTGGTAATTTGATTCCCCCTTTAAGCTACCGACTTGCAAAGAAAAATTTCAACTTTTATTTCTAAAATATGGGATGAAATACCTAGCTTTATGTCTTGTAAAGTCCCAAGAAAATTAGTTTTCGAAATGACATTTACTCTCTTTCATACTTATATGAAGGTTGCTTGATCACAGAACATAAAAAGCAATGAATCACTGTATTTGGCCATTAAACATCTTAAAGTCTAAATTATAATACGGTGTGAATGTCATTTAATTTTCATTAGCCCTTGAAAGGATGGTTGAACGGTGATGAGTACTTTTCCAAATCTTTAAAATTTAAGGATGGAGTATATAGAGTAAAATTAAAAACTTCGGACTTTGGCTATACATAACACACTAAACATGTTTATTTTCATATCCTCCTAAAACCCCACTAAAAGGACACTAAAGGAAATGAAGACTTGGGCAGTGAGAGGGGATTTTGGAAGTAATATAATCTAATTGATTCAGTGGACAGTGATTTGCTTCTTACTATATGCTACAAGTTAGTAGGAGAATCTAGCTTACAACACCGTCTCTTTTTTAGGAGGGGTGATGGGCAGAAACAATGGAAATAACATTTACTGAATGACTGCCATAAGCCAAGCACTGTGCTAGGGGCTTGACATGTAAGCTTCCAAGTTATATTTCATTATAAGAGATACAGCAATTGGAGGACATAATTGTGTACAATAATTAATAACTAGAGCTTATTCAGTGATAACCATTGCCAGACTCTATGTTTTATATATGCTACCTCATTCAGACTTGGCAATATCCTATGAGAATAGACTCTGTTATTTTCCCATTTTAAAGATGAAGGTACTGAGGCAGTGAGATTAAGTCATTTATAAAAGTTGCAAGGCTGGTTTGAGACAGAGATTGTATTTGAATCCTATACTCTGAACCTCTCTACTGCCTGCTTAAGGCTCTGAGCTGGAGGCTTTCTTGCTCTTTGTAGTAGAACCAAACCAAAACCAAAAGACCCCCACAACTCCAGTTTATTTTAATACCACCTCATTTCTTATCCTGCCATCTCCTTCCTTTCCACTCTTCCCCACCACTGAGTTTTAGGTTGGAGGGATACATTTTCATATATTCAACAGTATCTACTGAGCATCTACCATGTGCCAACCTACTGCCCTAGAGACACTGTCTCAGCCTCCACAAAGCTCAGACTGGCAGATGATGGACACTAACTACATATATACAAAATATACTCAAATGCTACCCAAGGGAAAATACAGATGCTACAGAAGGACCCAAGATGGGGAGTTAACCTCATCATGGAAAGTCTTTGAGAAAGTGAGATGTGCAGCAGGACCTGAAGAATAAAAAGGAATAAAAATTGGAAGGAAAGCACTCCAGGTAGAGGGCCAGGGGACAGGGAAAAAGCAGAGGGGTCACTGGTCAGGAGTTGTTCAGGAAATAGAGCTAAAATTGTGGTGAAGAGAAGTGGTGGCCAAAAATGCCGCACCTGATTCCTGATTCTGGAGGGGAACTAACTGGGCCAATGGTCAAACTGGAGGCAGACTCCAGAAGCTGCAGTGGCTGAAGTGAGTGAGGGGGATATTTGTCCATGATGAAGAGGTCAAAGAACTGAGAGGCTCAAATGTGGGCAGATCACCTGGGGGTATGGTCACATCCCCCCAGGATCAAGGTAGCTTGTGTAGAAGAAACTGGAAAGAAAGGAAATGGACTCAGTCTTCCTGCTCTGAGATTCAGGAACTTCGGCAGAATGAACAGCCATCACAGGCGAGGGCTGCAGGGCAATCAGTGTCCTCACCAACACAAGGCTTGGCAAAGCTTAACAGCCACATGGAATTCTGTCTTCCCGCAAACTTCCTGGGCCTCCTATCAAGGCATAGCTATTCCTCCCACATAAATTCAGAGTATAGCTGTATAAAGGATGGTTTCTCCCTCACCCTAGAGCCCTCCCACCTACCTTACTCATCTGGTGCTGGTATTTGCTGCTCTGTACTGCTAGGCAATCTATCTCATCTCACCTACGAACCCCTTAAGAACAGGGCCTATATTTTTTATTGCTATATGTCATAACTAGCACATGCTCAATAAATATTGATGGAGATTAGTTTAAATTTGATTCAATATGTGACAGATCTTTATAAATTGAATAATGTTATGCAACAGGGATTATAATTGTTCAAACTGATATACAGTTACCTATTACAAATTCTCTGAGACAAAAACAGTCAATGCTAACAATCTTGAAAGGCCTTAAACGTACGTAATTAAAGGCATTCTTCTGACTCCCAACCACTGACATCTTTTACCATCCTGTCCTAGAGGATAATGGTAGGAATAAAAGATCACCAAGTCCGGAGTTTCCAAACCAGGTTGAATATCACAATTCCCAGGAGAGTTTTTTAAAAACATAGATTCCCAGGTCCCACCCCAGAACAAGTGAGTAAGGAACTCTGTGTTTGCATCTTGGAATTTATAACTTTTAATTGGCTCCTTGGGTGTTTCTGAGGCACTGGGTTGATGTACTGCATCTAAGGGCCACTAATACAGTTCCTCATTTCCTCTTTTGAACAACTTCCAACAAGAGAGATATAATCACTCACATTAATTCTAGATTTAGATTACTCAGGATCAGCATAATTGAACATCTCTAATAAAAGCAGGGTAGCAGAGAGATTCAGAGTATAGGATCCAAATACAATCTCTGACTCTAACCAGCCTTGCAACTTTTATAAATGACTTAGTACCCTCATCTTTCATAAATGCCTCCTTGGTCCTCTCATCTTTAAAATGGGAAAAATAACAGCATCTATTCTCACAGGATTATTGCAAAGTCCGAATGAGGTAATATATATAAGACAAGGAGCCTGGAAATGGTAATCACTGAATAAGCTCTAGTTATTATTATTGTTCATGCTTCTTTCAGATATTGTACTAAAATTTACATTTGATAGTTACATCATTATAAAACACTCAGAATACCATGCAACCATTTAAAAATCTTGGGGGTCGGGGGAAGGGGACACCATTATGCAATTTTAATCTTAAGTTTAAAATTTCACACTTTTTTCTCATTGCAAATATTTTGTGATATTATGGAGCAGTCAGGCATTGTAAACTAAGCTTAGAAGCCAACCATAATGTGACATTGTGATGTGCCCTCAGTTTGTGGTAAAAGATTTGTTGTGATCTACTTACCCTACGGCTCCCCTCTTTGAGCTTGTATCCCTATCTTCTAGGGCCCAGGAGGAAGGAAATCCATTGGCAAAGTAAGCTAACAGAATTTTTGTTCTTGGAACTTGGAATTGAGACCCTTGTGGGTCAGGGTCATTTGAGGAAACGAAGGAAAGTGGGGGCTGAGGCAGTCAGGTTTGGGTCACATACCAGGAGAAGCTGTGAGAAAGGACAAGAAGGATGGGGAAAGGAGACATTGGGAAGAGAGGAAGAGGAACAGGGGAAAGAGAGAGACTTATACATGCTGCTTTGGTACCTGACAGAATTCTACTTTCTGGTTCTCCTATTTTATTTTTATGAAACATCTTTATTAAATTTTACTCAAAATTAAAACCACGAAAGTGAAGATGAACGTGTGAACAATGTAATAAATGGGGAAATGGTTAGGTGGGAGAAAAAAGATTAAGTTCACAAAAAGTGATTGAACAGTATCTGTGGCTACCAGGTAGTCTTCATCAGAGGTATTCTCTTCCTTACACAGTGGAGTGTGGTAAGCAAATGGCCCACGTGGCCAAGACTTGCAGTTCTTGTTTTCTACAGACACAGCCATTTGCCTCTACTAGAAGTTTACAGAAACCTACCAGACAGGATCTAGGAAAACACTATAAACTCCCTTAAACTGCTCTTAGGTCAAAGGTGGCAGAAGTAGCCTGGTACACTGACGTTGTGCCACAAGAGAAAGAGGTTGCACAATGGCCTTACACATCCAGTTAATACTGGGCACTTCTTACTGTGCATCGATTGCACTGACTATGATCATTCTACTCATTCTAGACTAATGACTTTAAAACAACAGCTAAGTCAAGGACCTATCATGGAAGATGAAGTACAGTAGGTGGTGTAAGAGTTGCTGAGGAGAATTAGGGCACTGTGCTAGAAACTCAAGAACTTATAAGCTAGCTTGAAAGACAGGGCAGAAACAGCTAACTATATTTAAGACAATGTGATTGAAATGCCATTGTGCTGTGAATGCAAAAGAGAAAAGATTAATTTTTTTTTTTTTTTTTAATTTAAGACAGAGTCTTGCTCTGTTGGCCAGGCTGGAGTGTAGTGGCATGATCTTGGCTCACTGCAAACTCCATCTCCCGGGCTCAAGCAATTCTCCTGCCTCAGCCTCTCGAGTAGCTGGGATTACAGGCCTGTGCCACCACATTCAGGTAATTTTTGTATTTTTAGTAGAGACGGGGTTTTACCATGTTTGCCAGGCTGGTTGGGCGGATTACCTGAGGTTGAGCAAAAAGATGAATTTCTAAGTTTTAGGAATGCAATTCACTTACATGTTTGGGACTTTCTATACTATTAGGCCTGCATACTTTTTACATATGGTACTTTATACTACAGTTATTTTACTTTCATTTCCAATTCTTTAATTTTTCCTCACATATAGATCCTCATATGTAGAACTGTTCACTAAATCAGTTAAATGGGCTGAGGTCATTAAGGCAGGTATATTAGATGCCATGGGAGACACAAGAGTACATGCATTTGTATTTGGAAAAAATATATATACATATATATATATACACACACACACACACACACACACATATATATTGCCTGCTAGTCTTAATGCAGCAGCTGACATTTGAAACCCAAGAATAGATTTCAAAAAGGAAAACCAAAGTGTCACCTTCTTGTTATCAGTTAAAAAGTGCTACACTGTTTGTGGATGAAGTTACTCAGTAAAATTTTATATTACCTTTCTTCAGCATTAATAAATAAAGATGCGGGGAACTAGGGGAGGGGCAGAGTGGGGGTGAGGAGTTGGGGAGGGATAACATGGGGAGAAATGTCAGATATAGATGATGGGGAAGAAGGCAGCAAACCATATTGCCATGTATGTACCTATGCAACAGTCCTGCATGTTCTTCACATGTATCCCAAAACCTAAAGTGCAATAACATATAAAATAAATACATAAATAAAGATGCAACAGATAAGACTCAAGTTTAATCCAACTCCTTTTTCATCTTTTAGGTATACAAAATGTAAACTTGGCTAGGATCATAAAGAATCAGAAATGTAGACGATTTTACCCCAGGAAACTATGCTGAATATTGTCTATATTATTTTAAAAAGAGAGAGAAAAAGAGCCTATAGCTGTCACCCCTAACAGATTGTCTTGTTGCTGTTCCTGCCAACTTCTGAGGGAAGAAATATTTCCATTCTGTTCCAATTTTCAACATAAGTAAATAAGGAAGTAATATGGCTGATTTCTGTTCTGGTGACTCAATATTAAGTTGGCTGAGGAAGCTGATGTTTGCAGAAATAGTTCTGGGAACATGCAAAGTAGGGAAACACATTGATGACCAGGTGGTATTTTTTTTAAACCTCCAATTATCTTGGGATATTAGTGCTTCATTCTCCATAATCAAATGTGTTCTAGGCTGCATTTACAGCTCATCCACTCTTCTCTGCCTGCACTGTCACAATTGGAAAACAGACCAGTTCCTACACCAAGCACACAAATTGACAAAGCAGCATTCTGAATTGGCAAAGGGGAGAAAAAGCAAATGAAGAGCAGATTGTTAGCACTGCCCTATCCTTTGCAAAGAACAAACACAAAGTTGTTCTGCCTAGACTCAAGCATTATTATAGGGATCTGTAACATAAAAAATGTTAGTGATATTCAAACAGAAATCACTATTTTGAGGTCCACTTAACGTTTCTAATTAAAGTAGCCTTTATATTCCCAGTAGTATCTTGGAGCCATCACATACCTCACAACCAGCATTTGGTCAGTCTGAACTGAAACTTCAACATATTTTCTGGCACCCAGAGAAACATCTTCTGTATTTATTGGAGCTTTGCTTTAAACCCAGATTATTTCAGTTATACCTACAACTTAACCCTTTTTGCCATAGGTATTTGCCAAATAGCTACCGGACGCAAATGACAAAAACATCAATGAAACAGGCTTAGATTTATAATCTATCCACACCATTTTTTCTCCCTCTGTAGACTGAAATATCCTTCACTGTTTGAAACTCAGTATAATTAAAACAGAACTCCTCTCACCCTCAGATCTACTTGTTTAGCATATGTATAGCTTGGATAATAGCCAGACAATTATTCCAGTTTTGCAGTATCAAAACAGGAAGACAATCATGGCTCAGTGGTTCGGAGAATGGGCTCTACAGTTAAAGTGTCTGATTCCACCCCTTGGTGAAGCCATAGGCTTGCAAGGCCTTAGTTTTCACATCTATTAAATAACAATAATATTAACATAACTGCCTCAGGGTAGTTGTGAGGATATGATAAACTAATGTGGGTAAATTATAAATATATGCTATTGTTATTATTCTACCTCCTGCATGTTTTTCAGATAAGACCTACTGTCCCTCTCCTCTGTCATATCCTTTTATCTCACCTCTGTATACCACATTATCCTTTCAGTTGCAGAATGGATCTCCTTAACTCGAATCTTACCTCTATGATCTAACCAAACACCGTCACACTCAGAATTGGTCCCAAACACAAATCTGAGCAATTCAGGGTAATTTTACAATCTACTGGTGATTTCTCACTGTCCATGAGATAAGCTTAAAATTCCAATATGGCATCTAAAATTCTCCAAGATTAGATTCAAGTACCAGAACAGAAAGGCATGAGAAGCCCAGTAGTGCACCTAAGCACAATAATTGCTTGTAGGAGGAATGAATGGATTTAAACATCAAGTCTGTTCTTTAGCTGTACCTCTCAGATTAGCTATGATGTGCTCCAGCGGTCTTGGTTTCCTCACCTAGAGGTTGATTACCATTATCATTCCTTTCTTTGCTTAAATCCTATAATCTACCCAGCTTTCCTGCCACAGCTCAAAGCTTCAACTATGCTTGTTTTACTCTCCATTCTCTCTAAGTAACCTTTCACCTTAAAGTTCTGGATCTAGTTGTTCCTTTTGCTTAAAAATCTTTCTGTCCCTTCTCATCAATATCTTTCTGAGGGAAACTGTATCCTCTTTATAATATATTTTTTTTTTTTTTGAGACAGAGTTTCGCTCTTGTTACCCAGGCTGGAGTGCAACGGCACGATCTCGGCTCACCGCAACCTCCGCCTCCTGGGTTCAGACAATTCTCCTGCCTCAGCCTCCTGAGTAGCTGGGATTACAGGCACACGCCACCATGCCCAGCTAATTTTTTGCATTTTTAGTAGAGACGGGGTTTCACCATGTTGACCAGGATGGTCTCGATCTCTTAACCTCGTGATCCACCCGCCTCGGCCTCCCAAAGTGCTGGGATTACAGGCTTGAGCCACCGCGCCCGGCCCTCTTTATAATATTTAACTTTAATTTCATCTTATTCAGGAAGCCCTTTCACATCTACCGTCTTGACAGATGAGTTTTTTCTCTGTCAGTCACCTAACACATTGAGAGTATGCTATTGTAAGACTTAGTTTTCCTCTTAGCAGTTAGTTATCCGTTCAAAAGACTGTAAGCTTACGAATGAGAGTCTAAAAATCTTCTGTCCTTAGCATGGGGCCACTGCCTGTGGCAAGTGCTTAAAAGTTTGAGTTCAGACCTCATCAACGTGGTAGTCAGAAAGGTGTCTGCTGCAAACTTATTAACTTTCCAGAGCTTCAGGCTCTGAAAACTGTTGATGAAGAGATGTGAAGATAAGGAAAGACACCTCTCGAGTTTTACTAGCAGAACACTCTAGAGAATTTGATTGGTTTTCTCACTCTGTAATTTTTTAGACCATTTATATCAAATTCACTTGTTAAAGATGCAGATTTCTTGGCCCCACAGACTTACTGAACAGGGATCTCCAGGGGATGCCTGGGCATCTGCTTTTTTTGTTTGTTTTTTGAGAGGAAGTCTTGTTCCGTCACCCAGGCTGGAGTGCAGTGGTGAGGTCCTGGCTCACTGCAACCTCCGCCTCCCGGGTTCAAGCAATTCTCTGCTTCAGTCTCCCGAGTAGCTGGGATTACAAGTGCCCACCAACACGCCTGGTTAATTTTTGTATTTTTTTAAGAGACAGGGTTTCAGGCCGGGCACGGTGGCTCAAGCCTGTAATCCCAGCACTTTGGGAGGCCGAGGCGGGTGGATCACGAGGTCAAGAGATCGAGACCATCCTGGTCAACACGGTGAAACCCCGTCTCTACTAAAAATACAAAAATTAGCTGGACATGGTGGCGCGTGCCTGTAATTCCAGCTACTCAGGAGGCTGAGGCAGGAGAATTGCCTGAACCCAGGAGGCGGAGGTTGCGGTGAGCCGAGATTGCGCCATTGCACTCCAGCCTGGGTAACAAGAGCGAAACTTCGTCTCAAAAAAAAAAAAAAAAAAAAAAAGTCACAACTAAGATCATGTCATTCATCTGCTTAAAAACCTTCAATAGCTTTCCACTGGGTTCCAAATAAAAATCAAATTCTATCCTTGCTCATAAACCTTACAAGATTTGGTGCTCAAGTCCCTGGCATCATCTTTCTCCATTCTCACCTTGTTCCTTTGGCTCTAGCCAGTGATCTTTTGTCTTTTCCTTGACTTTGCTAAGTTTGTTCCCACTATATGGCCCTTGCACGCACTATTCTCTCTGCCTGAAATGCTTTACTCCAGATTTTCATACGGCTTATTACTCTCCCACTTCCATATTACCCATTCTAAATTTCTTTACAGCACTTACTACCACCTTAGATAATCCTGTTTGTTGACTTGTTTATAGTCTGCTTTGCGCACTAGAACGTCAGCTGCTTGAGAGCAGGGTCCTTCTGTTGGTTCACTGATGTGTCCCAGGACCCCAGGGCAGTGCCTGGCAGATAGTTGGCTCTCAGGAAGTGTTCGATGACTGAACTCCCGCACTCAGGCCAGATTTCGCCTCTTGCACTCCCGACCCCGAGCCACAGGCTACCACTCACACCTCGGCGCTCCTAGGAGCCCCCTTTTAAGGACCCCAATGAAGCCGTCACTTACCTAACCACCATCGAACTCCTTCCGGCCCCAGCGGCTTCCTAACCCGGAAGTTTTCTTGGACACACAGGCCCGCCTCTGAGCTGACCGAGTACTTCCGGGGCAGTAGAAACGCCGAGTCCGCGGTGGTGGCTGTGCTGAGGGTGGCGGACGGCTAGGTGCGGAGCTTCCTGGGACGAGGCAGGAGGGGTGCGAGGTCCAAGGACTGGACCCGGACAGCCGAGGTCGCTAGGGATGGGGAGGAGGCGGCGATCTGACGGTGGGCGGCGGACATCTCGAGGCAGGGTCGAGGGCTGGGAAAGCGCTTTAGTGATTGAAGCGCTACGTTTGTCTGAGGAATTCTGGTCGTTGGCAGCGTGTGGCAACTTAGTTGGGAGCGGACGTTTACACCAGATCTCTCGTTTGGGACCCGTTCTTGGGTGTGTGAAGAAGTGAGAGCGCATGTTTGCTCACCTAGAGACAGCCGTATTAATAAGGATACAAACCACCACCACACCAACCAAGAGCAGCTGTCAACCTGTGGGCGGTTACGTGCCGTTCACTGTTCCAAGCCCCTCACATATCGCGTCATTGAATCTTTATAGGGACCCAGAACCCCATTTGACAGTTGAGGAAGCGGAGGGCAGACAGCTAACCTGACTTCCCCACAATCGCCGCAGGACAGGGAGAAAGTTAACTCCAGAGCCCGTGCACTTAGCTACTAAGCTGTACTGTTCTCCATTTTGGTAAATGGGGCGGGTGGGGGGGAGTGTGTGTGTGTGTAAGCGTGTGCGTTTTTATTTCTTAAAAATATGGCTCAGCCATTTAGTGTTATTTTTAATGTTCCAGTTATTGGAATCTTTCTCCTCCAATTGGGAAAGTAACTGGAGAGGAAACCACAATTATTTCTACACACTTGCTACACAATGCCTGGAAAACTTACGAAAACTAAATAGTGCAGTTCCACATACTTGGTGTTTATTCCTTTTTTTTTTTTTTAACCTTTTTCCTAGATATGAATGAGTTGAGAACAGAGATGGTGCAGTCATTCTAATAACAATGGTAATGATAATATAAACAGCTATCATCATAACAAATTCCCTTCTGGCTTAGCTCAAATATCTGGCACAATGAAAGAATAGAGATAACCAGTGTTTAATATTTTAGTTAAGGGACTCTTTTTGGCCGGGCATGGTGGCTCATGCCTTTAATCTTAGCACTTTGGGAGTCTGAGGCAGGGGAAGTGCTTGAGGCCAGGCCTAAGGTTCAAGACCATCCTGGCCAACATAGCAAGACCCTGTCTTAGAAAAATATATTTTGGAGTATGTCCTTCTAGTCTTTCATGGAATTATATGAATTTATGTAATATATATAATATATCCTACATATATACTATATATAGTTATGATAATGATATGTTGTAACCTGGAGACAGCGTAAAGAAAAGATAGAAAACATGTATTCATTTACACAATAATTGAACTTTGTGCAAGAACTGTCTGGTCTTTCCTATTAGATAGGCCCTTGGAGTGAGTAGCTTACATTAGTTCTCTATCTCCATAGGTACTGTGGTACTACTTGGTATGTAGTAGGTACTCAAAAAATGTTTGCAGGTGAGTGAATGACTACTTCTAAGTTGGTTTGTATGTCAGTGAGTAGTTGTATCTGGACTTTTTTTCTCTATGTGTTTTGGAAATGTATAATGTGTTTTATTATATACACATATATTCTTTTTTTTTTTTTTTTTTAGACAGAGTCTTGCTCTGTTGCTAGGCGCCAGGCTGGAGTGCAGTGGTGCAAGCTTGGCTCACTGCAACCTCTGCCTCCCGGGTTCAAGCAATGCTCCTGCCTCAGCCTTCCAAGTAGCTGGGACTACAGGCACATGCCACCACACCCAGCTAATTTTTGTATTTTTTAGTAAAGACGGGGTTTCACCATGTTGGCCAGGATAGTCTCTATCTCTTGACCTCGTGATCTGCTCTCCTCGGCCTCCCAAAGTGCTGGGATTACAGGCGTGAGCCACTGTGCCCGGCCTATACCCATATATTCTAAACTCCATAGTGTTGTCTTAATCTATCTTTCTAGCTTCATGCCTCCACATTGTTATTCTCCCTGCTGTGGTAACTACTCCCTACTGTAACTGTCCATATTCCATAGTCAGACATTAGGCCTTTGACTATGTCCATATGTTGTTTCCATATCCTTGAATCCTCTCATTGGCATTATTGTCTTTCAAACTCGTAAGCATCTTTTAAGGCAGTTGTTGCAAACTCAGATGCCTACAGAGATTAATCAGTTACCACAATTTGAGTCAAGTGGATTTGGGTGGGGATTGTAGAGAGCTGGAGAGCAACTGCCCGGGCTAAAAGGGCCCAGCAGCTATTTGGCACAAGCACGATTACAAAGTTGAATGTGGGCCCAGTGTTGCTAGATCTTTCAATTTTACAAGTGAGAAGTTGAAAACCTATATTTTTATATGAAGTATGATTTCTAAACGTTGGCAACTTATTTTCGCAAAGTTTACTGTGCAGGCCAAATAAAAACATCTGTAGGCAGGAAATGGCACTCAAATTCCCAGTTTATGACCACTGCTCTAGGCTTATTTCAGGTACTTTGTTCATGAATTACATTCTCTAAGTCTAATGGAGTTCTTTTTGTTTTTTTCAGCATGTTGTGTGTTGGATGGTCAGGCAGGGATGTTTCAGTGTTTCATGTGTTGTACTGAATGCAGCACCTCAAATACAGTGCTGTATCTAGTCTGCCTTAGTTTTAATATGCTTTTCTAATGCGTTAGAAATATTTTGATGGCATGGGTTGGGTCCAGTTCTTCACTTAGTACATGTCAGTACATACCTGTGGCATGTGTGTACATAAGTGTGAGATCTATTGATTTCTACCCTGATAATTCTTGATTATCCTGGAAACTAATGTCTGTTCTTTGTGGAAACACCAATAGTACCTTGGCTTTAATTGCCAAAGAGCTCTGCATCTGGAAGGAATTGAATTGAATAACATTGGTATGCAGAAGTTGACCTGACGTAAATCCTATCTGATGGCTTGAATTTCATAATGTCCTGGAAAAATTGAGGTAGGAATGATTAATAACTAATATGATTTTAAAGGACAATCAATAATAGGAAAAATTGATAAATTATATCTCATTAACATTAAAAACTTGCTCCGTGAAAGGCCCTATGAAGACAATTAAAAGATTGCCTTTAAAAGCTGCAGACTGGAAAACAATTTGCAAATCACATACTATACAGAGGACTTGAATTTAGAATATAGGAAGAGCTCAAAATTCAACAGTTAAAAAGAAACCTCATTAGAAAATGGGCAAAAGATACAAAGATATTTCACTGACGAGGATATGCAGATGGCATATTCACCCATGAAAAGATGTTCAACCTCACTAGGTCTTAGAGAAATACAACTTAAATCCACAGTGAGATATCACCACACAAGTGTTAGAATGGCTCAAATAAAAAATAGTGACAGTGCCAAATGCTGGCAAGAATGCAGAGAAATTTGATCACTTCTACATTGCTGGTGCAAATGTAAAATGGTATAGCTAGTTTGGAAAAGAGTATGGCAGTTTCTCAAAACTAAACATGAGCTTAACCATATGACCCAGCAGTTGCACTCTTGGTCATTTATCCAAGAGAAGTGAAAGCTTATGTTCCCACTAAAACCTATACATGAACTTTCATTGCTGTTTTGTTTATAATGGCCCCAAACTGGAAACCAATACAGATATCCTTCAGTAATGGGTAAATTGTGATACATCTATACTATAGAATACTACTTGGAAATAAAAAGGGAGGAATATTGATACACACAACTTAAACGGATCTTGAGGGGCTTGTGCTGAGTGAAAAAAGTCAGTCTCAATAGGTAATACGCTGTATGATTTCATTTATATAACATCTTGAAATGACAGAATTACAGAGAGGGAGAACACCTGTCCATCACAGAGATCAGTAGTTGCTTTGGGTTGGAAGTAGTGTGAGAAGTGGTTATGACTAAAAAAGGATAGCACATGGGATCCTTGTGATTGAACTATTCTATATTTTGATTGTGGTGATAGTTGCACGAAGCTATACATGTGATAAAATTTTATCGAACTAAATAAAAATGAGTATGTGTAAAACTGGTGAAATCTGAATGAGATCAGTGGATTGCATCAGTATCAGTTTCCTGGTTGTGATATTATATTTGTATCAGTTTTACCATTGAGAGAAACTGGATGAAGGTGTATAGTATCTCTGTATTATTCCTTATACTTGAATGTGAATCTATGATAATCTAAAACTAAAAAGTTTAAACAAATACTTTATACCAAAGAAGCCTATATAAATGTGTGTTTTTTGGGGGCGGGGCTTTCATTTTACCAGGTGATGTTCTAATCATGTCAGATAAAGATAGTATTGAGACTCCACTGCTAACTGAAGCAGACCGCATCCTTAAAGATGGAAACTGTGAGCCAGCCAAGAATTCTGAGTCTGTTGACCAAGGTGCCAAGCCAGAGAGTAAATCAGAACCTGTGGTTTCTACTCGGAAAAGACCAGAGACCAAACCTTCCAGTGACCTTGAGACTTCCAAAGTTCTCCCTATTCAGGTATCACAGACTGCAGACTAAATAGAGTATCTATTAAAATATTAAGATTTAAAATGTTGGGGCTAAAAGAAATTTGGCATAAATACCAATTTAGGATTGCATTTATTTCTTTCTCTTTGCAAACCTCAAATATAGTCATTTCAGTTCTATAAATGCCTTTATGAGTAATTGTTTTTGCTATGTGGTACTGACTGTCTGCCAGTCAAGCAATACATTTTTTTAGCTAAATAATATGTATTTGTTCACCCATGCTTTTGGCTGGTAATTAGACACCTTGTCTGTACATGCTGATATTAATTTTTTCATTTTTCTTGCCTTTCATTTTTCTTTCTACTGGGAAATTAGGATACTGTTTCCAAAGATGTACCCCAGACCAGATGGGG